AATGAAGTCAAGTCTGTCAGAGGTAGTAAATTTGGCTCAGGATAGTATGATGTTCATAGCTGTTGTCACTGAGTTGCAGTTGTTTTTTTTTAAATTTTATTTTATCAATTTTTTTTTTGTCTGTGTACCGTCAAATTGGATCTGGCTAGTACAGGAGGAGATTGCCCCTCCTTCTCCAGTAGAGCACCTGGTGGATTCAAACTGCCTACCCCTGGGATTGCAGTGCAGCTTTTTGCCACTAGACCACCAGAGCTCCTTGAGTTGTAGTTGTTTTGATGGCACATAACAACAGCAGCATTCTTTAGAGAAGGTAATGGTACTTTGAAATATGGAGGGTCAGCAAAATAGAAGAAAGCCCTCAACCATACATAGTGACTGCTGCAATGGGCTCAACTATGTAAAAAAAATTACAAGTATGGCATAGGATACATTAGGTTTCTGACTTGTTGCTCATAGGATTGCTATGAGTTGTACTCAACTCGACAGCACCTAACAACAACAACAATATCTGGTGATCTTGAACAACTTTTTATGTGTTTATTAGTTATCTGGTTGTCTTTTTTGGTAAAGAGCCTTTTCACATCTTCTGCCCATCTGTTCATCAATGAAAAAATGGCTCGAGAAGACTATGGTACTTTTACTAAGTAGAATACTATGTAATTTTGAAAAATAAAAAAAAATCCATGAAACACTACAAAGCATGCATGAATCTAGAAGATACTATGCCAAGTGAAACAATCAGCCACCAAAGGACAAATACTATACAAGATCACTGTTATAGAAACATAGAGAATGTTTTCTTCACAGAATCATTCTAGTATGGTTACAAGAGAGAGGAAAAGTGGGAGTAGAAAATCGGTAATAGATAATAAAAACTTAATAAGAAGTGTGAAAGGGACGACTATATGGTATGAATAAATTATCTGACACTGTGTTGATATTATTGAACCAACTATGCATGAGTAGTTATTAAAAATGTCTTTTTAAAACTCAAGTCACAGTAGAAAAGATATAATAAAAATTTTCATTTTGATGAGATTTAATTCTTTTCTTTGAGATTAATTTAATAAAATAAGCCACTGTTTTATTTCTAAGCCTAGAACAATGGGCTTTATCTTAAAACCACATTGATTTATTTTCCATTATTTGGAAGTTCTGTAACTGTACTATTTTTCCTTCTTTTTGCTTTGTAGTTCCTCACTGATACCTCTGATTTTTCCATTTTCACTCTCATAGGTTGATTCTACTTTATATACTTTGGTTGGTTTCTGAGTGATTTTTATATAAATGTTAATTCCAGTTTGTTTTCTGCAGTTGTTGGTTCTCTCTTCAAAGAACTCCTCTTAGAATTTTTAGTAAAGGTCTTTGGATAGTTAGTGTTAGGTGCCATCGTGCTGAGTACAACCCATAGTGACCTAATGAACAAATCTGAATCCTGACCCATCCTGTGTCGTCCTCACAAACTGGCACAATCGAGTCCATTGCTGCAGTCATAGTGTCAATCCCTCTGCTTAAAAACCTTTCTCTCTTTCACTGACCTCTCCATCTTTTCATGATGTGCCTTCCCAAGGACTAGCCTCTTCTAACAACATGTCCAAAGTATATGGGATGAAGCTTTACTATTTTTTACTCCAAGGACCACTTCGGCTGCACTGTCTTTGAAACATAGCTTTGTTTTATTTGTTTATTCTTTTGGCAGGCCATAGTATAATCAGTATTCTCCAACACCATAGCTCAAAGGCATCAATTCTTTTGTAATCTTCGTTCATTTTCAAGTTATCAGATGCATAGACAGTAAATGAGAAGACCATGGCCTGAATCAAGCACACCTTATTCCCCCAAATCACATTATTGATCCCCAATAATTTGGAGAGATCCCTGACTGCAGCTTTTCCAGGGCAATACACCTCCTGATGACCTGGCAACTCCTGGGAACAAGGGTATTGATTGCAGATTCAAATAAGATGAAGTCGTTGACAGTTTCACTCTTTTCTCCATCTATCATGATGTTTCCTGTTGGTTCAGTGGTAAAAGTCTTGTTTTCTTGACATTGAGATGCAATCCATAATGAAGGCTCTATTGTTTGGCCTTCTGCATAAAGTGTTTCAAGTCTTCTTTACTTTCACCAAGTAAAGTTGTGCCATCTGCATCATCAGTTTGCTTCAAAAGTTTTAGCTTTCATAGTGTCCCTAAATTTCTGTGTATTTGGAAATGTTTTAAATTCATCATTATAATTGAGAAACAGTTTTGATGGCATGCAGATGGCACAACCTTGCTTGCTGAAACAGTTCGAGAACCTGAAACACTCAAGGACTGTAGTCTTCAATATGGATTGAAGCTCAACATCAAGAAGATAAAGATTCTCAGCACTGGGCATTTCACAGACCAAGGGTGGTGTCCTAGATGGTACATGGTCTGTTCAGTGACTTGCAATGCATCTAAAAGCTGGACAAGGAGAGCTCGGGCATGCTGCTAGAAGAGGTTATTCCTTGGAAAGGGATAGCATGTTTGGAAAAGTGGAGAGGTGAAGAAAGAGACCAATACCCTCATCCAGGCAAGTTGACATGGTGACTGTGACAACAGGCTTATGTGTGTCAGATACTGTGAAGATGGCACAGGATAGGACAGTGTTCAGATTGGTTGCTATAGGGTCACTATGAGTCCTAATCAGCTCGACAGCACCTACCACCAACAACAATCACAGCAGCAGCAGTTTTTCTTCAGATAATTCTACAACAGAGCTCAAGAACTGTTCTTGCATTTTAGCTTCAATTCTGAGCCTCTATATCTCCAATAATTCTGTGAACATATCATCATGCTTTTAAATGGACTCCTTTTTGGTTTAATCTACCAACTCCCTTTCCTGTTGCTTATAACAAAGCAATTAGTTTCAAACCAATCTAAGTATTATTAATACTTTAAAAAAAAAAAAACCCAAGGTTTATACACTCCTGTAGATGCAGGCAACAGGAGTTTTTCTAGTAAGAGGAAGAAAGATTTGGGGAGGAATCTGTAAAAAATGGACCAAAATCAGTTCGGGCTTAAACTCAAGAGCCTATTTCCTAAAACTCTAAAATAAATGAGAAGATCTGACAAGATGATGTAAAGATATCAAGCCTTCCTATCATTCCAACCTCATGCAGGGAAAAACTTAAAGGCTTATTTTTCTTCTTTCAGTCACTATTCCCAAGGTGCACTTACACATATGAACTCAACAGCCAAATTATGCAAGGACAGAAACAATAACACTCAAGGGTCTGTGAAGCCAAACATACCCTACGTGTACTGGGGTTTTATTTAATTAATGCGGTGAGCATTTTGTTTTGTCAGCTGCAGCCTATTGTAATAGAATAATTTGACTTTCAGCTTATAAGTGATTTCAAAGTGCAATTGGAATGAATCCCCCAGCTCCTGCTAATAAAGGAACACAATTCCAGTCCTTGGAAGGAAACATCATGCTTGAAAAATGGAAGGCTGCTTTAGGAAAGGAAGATCCTTAACGAGATGGACTGCCAAAATGACTGCAGCAATGGACCAAACCCAGCTTATACTGAAAGGACGGCTTGGGATTAGGCAAAGTGTTCATGTGTTGTGCACAGGGGTCATTATGAATCAGAATCAACTTGCTGGCACATTATAACAACCAAAAGCTATTTCTCAGCCATAGTTACATCTTGCTATATACTGGGGACTTTTAAGGAACACTGAAGACCACTGGAGATTCTAATTTAATTGTTTGGAGGAACAGCTTGTGCATCATGATTTTTTACATTTCCCCATGTGTTTCTAAAGTGAGCCAATGTTCAGAATCACAGCTCCAGAACTTGGCAACTCTATTGGCCATTATCAATTTGTGGAAATTCAAGGACGCAGACCTAATCCCTGTCCTACTGAGTCAGAATCTGCCTTTTAATAAGTCTCCCAGATGAGTTATATGAAAAATAACGCTTAATAAATCCAGACAATTTTTACATCATTTCTACTAGGATATTTTTCAACTCCTCCTCATCATTTCTGCTAGAATATTTTTAAACTCGGTTCTGGCAAATTAAATGTGTTCATTTGTCTCTCATATTTTACCTTTCCTTCTTCCTCCCCCTTTCCTCTCCTCCCACCTTGTTTGCAGAATCCTTAGCAAATGTTTCTCTTTATAGTATGAATGCCAAATATGATTTAGACAGTATTTTACAGTTCAATTTTTTTTTCTTTGGAAATTAACAACTTCACAATTAACCTGATTGGAGTTTGAGATACTGACTGTATAACATAGTCTAAACTGATATTAATAATGTGATTAATATCTGAGTAAAATATCGTTGTTTGTTGTTGTTAAGTGCCATCAAGTCATAGATGACTGATAGAGACCCTAGAATGAAAGACCTGAGCATTGTTCATAGAGTTTCCAGAGGCAAGTCATTTCAGAAGTGGATGCTACTCCTGCTTCCAGGCTTGTTTTAATGGGGAAGCTCCACAAAATACTGTCCACAAGAGTAACCATTATCGCATTTTGGCATATCAGTGTCACTGTGTTTAGCATCACAGCAACCACGAGTTACCTCTGTACAGCAATGCACAGACCAGCACTAAACCACTTAGAAGAATGTTTGACAAAAAATAATTGACACCAGGCCTGAGGGCCGCAGATTAAAATAATGCACCTTGGGCTTGGAAGCACAACTTTTGGTCCACTAGGTCATTGTACCTTTCTCTATGTTGTCATTGTTATTATTGTTACGTGCTGTCAAGTCGTAGACTACTCATAGCAACCCTATGAACAAAAAATCTGAGCACTGTTCATAGAGTTTACAGGTAGATGAGTGGGAATATGCAAATAGAGTTCATTAGCATATCGACAAGGGGATTGAGTGGATCCAGCAGTAGAACAGAAGAAATCTCACCAGCATCAAAGATGAAGCAAGAGGCTCCAGGGAGGCAGGCTGAGACCGGCCTGGCAGCGCTGTGGTGGCTCTTGTCACTTCCTTACCCTCGCCACCGACATCATGCTCCAGTTCCTGCTTGGATTAACTTTTGGAAACATCGTTGGAGTATACCTGCCTCAGAACTACGAGATACCAAACCTGGCCAAAAAGCTTGACAACATCAAGAAGGACTTGGATGCCAAGAAGAAGCCACCTAGCTTGTGAAGGCCCCTGTTGTAGGCCCTCTGGCACCCATGGATCAGCCCTCCCTGACAGCCTCCTTACCCTCGAACCAGCCGCTGTGGTCATCACAGTCTCAGCGAGATTCCTCTTTGCTGGATCCTGAGTTGCCTTAGAGAAAAAAATGGGGCCTCCGGTGAAGAACTCTGCCACCTCCCCACGTGCACTCTCCTCACCCTTGTTTCAGATGATGGGAGAGCCCAAAACTGGATTATGGTGCTAGATAGTAAACATAACCTTCAACTTGTCTCCTCTTTGTTCCTTAGATTTCTACTACCTTTGAAAAGGAAACTTGTGTTCTGTATTCTTGATCCTATACAAAGAATGCTATTTTCACAGTGAGGGCTGTTATTATACTAGGTCCATGGTAGTCTTTGGTAATAAGCGGTGCTCCAGAGTAATTAAAACTTTAAAAAATGAAGAAGAAGAAGTAAGAAAATTAGGACCAGAGATTTTTTTTGTGCCAACAAGACTAGAGCCTATGGGTTCAGCAACATAACAATTGCAGAAGAGAACCCGAGATCTGACATGAAACTAAGTATCTTGAGTCTGCTACCCCATGGAAGCAGGACTAGATGACTTTGACTGAATCTGTTAAGACAGCTGGGAGAAGGAGAGAGCTATAATTGGAGGGCAGGACTGTAAGCTTTGTAATACTGGTCTAATGCCATGAGACTCAAGGCTGAGGTGCCAGTGAACACATTGCAGAAGCTGCCTTGATTATATTCTGCAAGAAGCTGCACTACAATCCCAAAAGCATGAAGTTGGAGGCCACCAGCTGCTCCATGGGAGAAGGATGGGCAATCTCTTCCCATGAGACTAGCTGCCTCAGAAAACCTATCAGTGGTTCCCACTCAACTATACAGACAACAGCAACAATCTGGATTATAACCTTTTGACTTCCTCATTATGCTTCTAAGAGCTATCATACTGGATTTTGGACCTAATAGCAGTGAGTTTGGAATTGGGATGAGTGGAATGAGCATGAGGGGCCATGTCTGATCTCAGAGAAACTGGTTTCATGTTGATATTGTTGATGGGGATAGTTCCCCTTTGTGAAACTGGTAAGGGTTGAATATGACTATTTCCATACAGTACTTGCTCTTTTTAAAATTGTTAACAATTTCATCTTGCTTGGTTCCGGAATCAGCACTCTTGGCACCAGCCAGGAAATCAAAAGATGAATTGCATTAGGAAAATCTGCTGCCAGGGACCTCCTCAGAGAATTAAAGAACAATGATGTCAGTCTAGAGACTAAGGTGCACATGACCCAGGCCAGAGTCTTCACAGTTATCTGTCATGCGTCAGAGCTGGACAATGACCAAAAAGGACAGAAGAATTATTGATACCTTTGGGTGTGGTGTGGAGAAAGTACTGAAAACTCTCTGTCTCACAGACTTTGGGCATATTGACAGGAGAGACCAGTCCTTGAAGAAGGATATCATGCTTAGAAGGATGGAGGGACAGCACAGGAGAGGAAGATCTTGGATGAGATGGATTGACACAATAACTGGGGTAATAAGAGTGGATGTATCAGAGACAGTGAGATTGGATTAGGATAGTGTAGAGTTCTGGGTATTATGCATAGGGTCAGTATGAGTTGTGGTCGACTTGACAGCACATAACAACAACAAGCCGCTTCTAAGCATTAGCTCCCTGAGAACTGGTGTGTGTCTTACAACAGTCTAGTTCTGCACCACCTCTACATCTGCTAACAGTCTGGTTTGGTCTTTGTCTATTGCAGAAATCTTTAAGTCAAAAAGATGTGCTGCACTCTCTGCTTCTTTTTCTTTATTGTAACGAGAGTTTCTGACTATTAATCTCTTCAGCTTAAGCCTTGGAGCATAGCAAAAATGAACAATAACCTCATTAATGATTTAGACATTTATTTTCATGGTTCCACCCAAAAGGTGCTACATTATTAGTACACTATCTACACCCTCATAAGCTTGTAAACATTTCACATTTGTATAGTCCTGTGCAGTGGTGCATATCAAAGAGGATGAGGAAAAGGCAGGATAGGGTAAATTTCAGATTTGTTGTTTGTAGGGTTGCTATGAGTCATGGACAATTCAATGACACCTAATAAACCTACAACTCAATCATGTGGTGAAAGTCAAAATCAATTATTAGAAAGGAATCATTGTAAATATAAATACTCCATTATAAGATATAAGCATAGTGGCCCATATAACTGCTTGATTTAAAATGGCCAATAGTACTACACTTCAGCTCACTAATGCCCAAGAAATTGACCTTCAAGCATTCCATTCCATGTTATAAAACTTCCCATTTTTCTAGATTCATATTTTATACATTATATAATCTAGTTATGATTTTTCTCTTCTTAGAGTTGTGTCACATCCACAAATGAACATCCTATAATCTTTATTTCATTTACATCAATTCTACTTTTAGGAGGCAGCTCTTCCTCAGTTGTATTTTAAGTTAGAATATGCAAATCTCTAGAATAGAGCACAAGCTTAATAACTATTATGTATTATTAATAAGATCTTATTTCTAAGGTTTTTCATATTCTTTTTATTCTCAGTACCTCTGAATGATATTCAAAGCTTTAGGTATTTTCCTATGGAAGTCTTCTTCTCTCGTAACTGTTGACCTAATTTCATAGTCCCAGACAGGTCTTCTTGCCATGGTAAATATCTCTGCCGTCCGGCCTGCTTGGGTCTGGGTGGGACTTGTTCATCCTCTTCGGTCGTGTTTATGCTGACCTTTTTCTCCAGAGGTGTGCTGGGCAAGCTTCCCAACGCACATACTCCCAAGTGAGGTCTGCCAAAGTTCTTAAAACTGTTTTGATTTATCAAATCAACTGCTGCTAAGTCATGTGAACAGACATTTTAATTTATCTTCTCTCTCTCATTCTTACTCTCTTGTTCTTTCTCATCGCCATCAAGTCAGAACCAACTCATAGCTAACCCTACAGCAGGTTTTCTGTTGTTATTGTCGTTGTTGTTGTTGTTGTGTGCCATCAAGTTGGAACAGACTCATAGTTAACCGTACAGCAGGTTTTTCAGAGGAAGTAAATCACATGGAAACAGATTGCACACGTCCTTGCCCCATAGAGCAGCTGGCGAATTCAGACCAAATGTCCTTGAAATTGCAGTGCAGCATCTTTCAATGCAGCTTCTAGCCACTAAGCCACCAGAGCTCCCTAAAGCAGATTCGTTGTTATGTACCAGTGAGTTGACTGTGACTCATAGTGATCCTTTGAACAATGGTTCTGAACCTTACCCTATCCTGAGCCAACCTCACTGTTTCTGACACACCAGACCCCATTGACACAGTCATCATGTAAATCCATTTCATCAACATCAACAATAATAAACCTGTTGTAAATAAAATAACAAACCTAAAAACCTGCTAGAGAGTCAGCTATGAGCTGATTCTGACTTGATGGTGATGAGATAGAAGATTGGAAGGAAGAAAATAGATAAATTAAACTGTCTATTCACATAATTTAGCAGCAGTTGCTCTGATAAATCAAGACAGTTTTAAGAACTTTGGCAGATCTAAATCCAACAATCCTCTGAAACTTGCCCTATGTGGAGCTCCCTACAGTAACATATAACTACTGATTTGCTGATAAAATTTAGAGTTTCCATGGATAGAATTCTGAGGGGCTAAAATAGTTACTTAAAGAGGGAATTCCGCTACTAATCCAAAATATTAATGCGAATCCATCAGCTTTTCTGTGAGAGAAAATGAATAAGTCTCCTCCCATGTGATTTACTGTTTCTGAGGGTCAGCTATGAATTGATCCCATTTGGTTGATGGTACATACAACAACAATAACAACTTGAAAGTTGGACAATGAATAAAGATGACAGAAGAATAATTATTGTCTTTGAGTTGTGGTAGTGGAGACAAGTGGACTGCCAACAGGACAAACAAGTATGCCTTGTAAAAGGGGCAGCTAGACTATTCCATGGAGACAAGGATAGTGAAACTTTGTTTCACCTCCTTTGGGAATGTGGGTTAGGAAGGATAGGGTAGTGTTCAAATCCATTGTCCATAGAGTTGCAATGAATCACTGAACTATAGTCAACACAACTGTTCTCAGTAGTACTTACTACTGCAATAAGTCACTCACTCATTAACAGCACTTCTTATTCATTGGTATGGAGTAAGAGCAGACTCATAACTGATCCTCCAGTGGCTTTTCTGAAGCTGTAAATCGTATGTATGGGAAGAGCTTGGATTGCCCACTTTTTTCCCATCAAGTCACTGTTGGATTCGAACCTCCAGTAAAATGTGCAACTCCCTATAGATACCACTAGAACTTCCTAAGATTTCTTTCTCCCTCTCTCTTTTCCTCTAACTGGACCAATAACCACAATGTACTTAAAAATAAAAAACATAACAGTATAAAGTATCAACAGCTATTAGCCCAGTTAATAACCAATTATAATTTGATTTCTGCTTTCCTCTGTATTTAATTATACCTCTCCATCTTTCTTGATTCTGGGGAGTTTCTGGTGATACAGTTTCTAGGGAGTTTTGCTGATAATCTAAGGGCCACATCTCACCAGCAGTTTCAATTCACTTTGAAGGAGAAATATGAGCAATCTCCTCCAGTGAAGGTTATAGCCACAGAATCCCACTGGAGGGCCAGTATGGATCAGAACCAATCTGGACAACAGTAAGGTTGACATTAAACTACCTGTTCTTGCTTCTAAAATTTGTGCTTGCCAATGGAA